GGCCGAAGGGGCTGGTGCGATAATAGCGCCATTTCTGCTCGTCGGCGAGTGTGCACCTGCTCCGCCGCCTGCCTCTCCGTCATATCCCTCGCCTGATGTCGTCCAGCCGTCACCCCCAGCTCCTGAGTCGTGTGAGCGTTCAGAAGCTGCGAATTCTGCTTCTTCCATTTTCTCCTGCCGCCCCTTCAAGTTCCCCTCCAAACCGTCCCCCCCGCTGTTCGTGAGCTGCGTTTGTCTGGCACGTAGCAGGTCCCGTGTCAGCGTCGCAGTGAAAGCGGCGCCAAGGCGCCTCCTGACCGTTTTCAGTGGAGAATGCAGTGGGCGGCCTTGGCGTGTGTTTGAACGCGTGCCTAGGTAAACCGCGGTCATACTAGTTGCCGGCCTCCGGTTTCTTCGTTCGATTTGCTGTTCGTCGAACGGCGTAGTTTAGGGTTTATTCAAAAATAAAAAAGCCTAGCTGCAGCAACTAGCTTAGCCGCGCCAGAGCTGGCGCGGCTCGGGTTTCCTAAGTAGCGCGAAATAGGGAGTGGTGAGGAGGAGGTGAGTGGCGAGGGGAATTAGAGGGAGGGGTGGGGTGGGTCTCGATGTTTGAAAAAAAGGCCCCCCGAAGCGCGCGCGTTGAAATGCGCGCTTCGGGTGGTCAAAATTGGAATTTTGGGGGCGAAAAAAAACTAAGTTTGACTTGGCGAGAAAAAAATTCTCGCCAAGGAGAGACTCGCCAGTCGAAGTTGCGGGTGCGGTTCAGTGCGGTGACGCGACTATGGTCGCGAGTTGCTCCGTGAGATAGGCGATTAAAGAACTATTTCTAACCTTTCTTCTCGTTTTCAAGCTAAGAAATCGCTCCAGTGCTGTTAAAAAAACGAGGCAAATGCATTTCGGCCAGGTGATGGCCATCCTCAGTGCTAACAGCATCTAGAGTGGCGAAATCAAACCTAAAAGGGGAAGAGAGGCTTGTGAGAGAAGGCCCTATCCCCTGTAGTAGCACCCAACAGAAAATGTACAACACCTAAAAACTAATCTAAACATTTATAAAAATGATATATTCATCTATATAAATATTTAGGTCGTTCTTCGGCGCCGCTGGGAAATAAAAATGTATTTCCTTTGTTCCTGTAGCGTGCTCTTGGGGAGCTGGGTCCTGCGGGGTGATGAAACGCACGCAACGAATAGGGCGAACGGCGTGGAAAGCACTAGGCAAGGAAAAAACAGGAGGAGATCGCAGGGTGAAGATAGATATGCGTGGCTAATCATTTTTGAATAGATGTAAACCCGCCCAGGCAGCCTGTATACTGTAAGAGTGCTGTCGTGAAGGTGCTGTTCCCGTGCATTTATGTGCTTGTGCGCCGGCGTGTCTACCTGTGCAATGCGTCGTGCTGGTGAATGCGCAGTGCTGGACATGCGATGCATATGAAGCAGGGTTTAGCTAGGGGCGCGAGAGCGGTGTTGCGGTCTGTGTATTCGTGTATAGGGGATGCAGGGGGTGTGATGTGTTATGTGTGTTTGGTGTGGAAGTATGCGTGAGAAGAGGAGGGGAGTGGGGACTTGGGGACAGAGGGACAGAAAGAGGGATGGGACAAAAGGATAAGTGAAGAGACTGTTGTTGGTTCTTGATTGGAGCTGCAGGGGTAGGTGGAGGGGGTGAGACATAGGGATGGCGAGATTAATTTTTTGAGAGAACTGGGGAGCGCATAGCGTGGGGGGGAGAGAGAGGAGCGGGGGGGGGGGGGGGGGGGGGGGGGGTTCGGGGGGGCGCAGCCCCCCCGATTGTTTGAAATGCAGTGTGAGAGGACAACAGCATGGAAAGCCACAAACAGGGGCGAGCCCAGCAACGATATACGATAGAGTCCAGTGGTGTCGTTCATGCGGCACTGCACTCGGAAGTAGCTCGAGCGTCGGCACTCGTGAAAGCAGCTCGGACGAGCATATTCCTCAGCTTAGGTGCTGCACGGAAGCTGAGGAAAGGCTGTCTCGGGCAGAGCGTCTCTAGGGTTGTCCTACTCGTCTCGGACCGGAGCAGGGACCTTATCTGTGGGTGCTCGAGACTAGGGTGGTACTCGAGCACAAAAGGCAGTACTCTGCCGTCACGGTGCTTACCTTTCACTGATCGTTGCAGGAGTGTTTTCCCTGTCGCTGTACTGTACCTCGTCAAAGATCTGCCGGATGAAGTTCGAGTGGTAGCCGCGTGCTCGTAGACGCACTGCGAAAGAGGATTTCATCTGTTGGAAGCCCTCCTCTGATGACTCCCGCAGGAGGTAGCGGTACAGCTCACCAATTATGAATCCTCGTTTGCAGTGTCGCGGGTGTGCCGATCGGAAAGGGAAATACTGATAGACGTTCAGCGGTTTCTGGTACACTGAGGTGTCCAGAAAACCGCCTCTCACATCTTCCTTTCTCGTTGCCTCCCACAGATTACCTTTGCTGAAGGTGATGTCGAGCAGCGTAAACGATGTGGCGCTGACCTCGGTGGTGATGTGAATGCCGTCCATGAGGCTGTTGTAACCCTCTATCCATTGGTGTAGTTCTGCTAGCGATCCGGTCCAGACTACCAATCCGTCGTCGATGTAGCGTCTATGCAGTAGCACATGCCTTGACAGGGATGGGTGTAGTTCCTCCATGCGAGTGTCTAGCCAGCTCATAAAGAGAACTGCGTAGATCACTGCAACCGGAGTACCCATGGCTGTACCTCGAATCTGTCGGTAGAACTTCCCATCGAATTGTAGGTGATTTTGTGTCATGACTAGCTCCAGGAGCGCACAGCACGCACTGAGCTGTTTGGCGGTACCCATCTCCGGCCAAACTGGGTGGCTGTGGATGTGCACGAATCTGTCCTTTGTTTCTCGGATGGCGTCCAAGCCCTGCTGGAGCGGGATCGACGGGTAGAGGCTCTCTACATCGTACGTGAGGAAGATGGCATGTTCAGGTATGGGGAGGGCACGAAGTGTGTGGAGTAGGGTGATTGAGTCTGGTAGATGGGTTGGTGCCAGGGCCAACAAAGGGCGTAGGTAGTGATCGAGCACCTGGCTGGCGTGTTCAAAGATCCAGAGAGTAGATGAGCAAATCGGTCTCCCCTTGACAGGGTCTTTATGCAGTTTAGGTAGCAGATAGAATCTGCACACCCGGAACTGCCCAGGGTGTATGTCCGTGTGATCCTCACATTCTGCTTCTGTGCGTCGCTCAACTCTTGGTTGCAGGATGTACTCGATGGTTTCCTTCGGAAACCTATCCTTGTACCTCGAGCACCAAGTGTTGAGGTCCCTGCACAGGTCGTCCATGGGTACCGCTGCGACCTCTTTGTAGGTTTTGGTGTCGGATAACTGCCTAAGTGCCTCTGCTCGATACCACGAAGTATCTAGGAGTGCGAGTCCTAGATTCTTATCTGCTGGCTTTACCACCACCTCTTTATTCTTACCCAACTTTTGTAGGCACCGTAACGCTTGCTCACTCATGTTCCTGCGTGCGCTACGCGTCATCAGTGGGAGGCGTTTGGTAACGTTCCTTCCCACCTCCGCGATGTATCGCTCTACAGGGGGGGGAGCAGGGTTGGGCATCCAGGATGGGTTGGCAATACGAAAGCGTGGGGCTGGCCTGTCAGACGAGAACTGTGCGGTAAGTCTCACTGCTCTCGTGAATCTTGAGAGGGCGCTCATAACTGTTTGTTCTGTGGGGGGTGATGGGGTTGGGATGAAAGAGAGTCCTAGGCTTAGCCCCTCGAGCTCTATGCGCGAGAGGGTGAGTGCGGATCTGTTGTGAATGAATTCGAGTTTAGTTCGTCCTGTAGGATAATCTGCGGTGTTCGAAGTAGGCGTTTTTGGGTTGGGGTCAGCAGGGTCGAGGTGTGCTTGCGTCTAGGCCTCGAGCGAGGTCGTTTGTATTGACTGGTCTTACTCACCTGCCGGTAGGTGTTATTCGCTACCAAAGCAGAAGATGGTGTGGAGGGTAGGGTGTTACAGGTAGTGGCGTCGATGGATGCAGACTGAGAGATGAGGTGCTGGTTTGTTGGGGTTGGTGGTGTTGGGGTTGGGTCGGCTTGTCGGTGGTGGGTGTGCGGTGGTGTCTCTACCTGGTTGTGCTGTGCGTTTGATGTAGGTTGGGTCATGTGGGCGTACCTTTGGTGAGGGTAGCTGGTCGTTGGTGTCTGTAGACGTGTTGCTTGCCGCATGCTGTTCTGTGAGGGGTGGAGGGGTTCGCTAGTTTAAAAAATGCATTGCTGAGGCATGGGGAACAGAGGTGTTGTTGAGAGTAGAGAGTGCCCCTATAACTTGTGCCGGTCCAGCTCTCCCTGTTGCTTGGGTTGCTTGAAGCCCTTGGTGACCTGCTGGATAGGGGGGGCGTAAGGCATGTATGCGTATGTCTGTGGTGCGGGTGTTGATGACATGACCGATATGTTCGAGAGTGCTGGCTGCGCCTGTGCCTGTGGGGGCAGAGAGGGGATGAGATTCTGAGAAAAGAAGAGGGGTTGCGTGTGGGGCAGGATATGGCTGCCACTTGCAAAGGTGGGGTGATGGGGTGTGAAGGGGTATGGGTGGTACATGTTGTGCGGTGCTGGAGCTGCCATGACGGTGTATGCGGGGAATGTTGCTGGCGTGAATGTATGCGGAGCTTGCTGGGCAGGGGTGTTAAGTTGTTGTGCAACTCGTGTCTGTGTCTCTAGTGTGTGGTTACCTGTGCCATTTGTCAGCTGTGCTGTGCGTTCGGGTTGCATGCTCGGGGTCCGGTGGTTGCTCGTTCTGTGCTGGCTGCCCTTGACCCAACTGTGTGCTTCCCGGCAGTTCCAGCTGTGTGTCCCTCTGTTGCTCTGTCCCTTCCCTGCGTCCCCCCTGTTGCGCTCGTGTCGGTGCACCCCGTGCTGTGTTCATATCTGCGCGTGCTGCTGGCCGTCCGTATTGTGATGGGAGCTGTGGTGCAATGCGGAGTGCGTACTCTTGTTGCCACTGTGTTGGTTGTGTGGTGTGGGCTGTTCCCCAGTGGGAGCCGCCTAGGCAGGTTTACCTTTAGCCCAC